TTGTAGCCTCAGAACTTCATCATTTATGAACCGATTTATTACCCGCTCGGTCCCATTTGAACAAAAATATAACCCCTAAAGCTTAGAATAATAACGCCCTAAAAATGAATAATAAAGAATTGAAAAATAAAGTTTACTACTATTCATCACACAAAATACATAATTTTTTGATCAAACTGATCAAAAATGTATCTATTTTGTGGTAAGCTTTACGGGTGATACTTTTCTTATGTGTGATGAATTAAAAGTGTACCTATCTCTAGATACCGAGTAAACGGAATTTAGCAATGTGACTGTTTTGAGAGGAAATAGGAGGCAGGTGCGTTTATAAGCACCTACTGCTTATAAACGCACCTGCCTCCTATTTCCTCTGCATCATCCAATGGATGCTTGATGAAGGTGCTGAGGTGTTGCTTGACCAACTCTGCACAGCGTGCAAATAAATAAATATTATCTATAAATTAGTCCTGTAAGCTCATACTGAATCAATAAATTAATTTGTATAATTGTTTTCATTCGCCTGTAGTAGTAGTAGTAAGACGACTGTTATGTGACGATGCGTTTCGAGATTTTGCGTGACAGATATTTTAATAACAATTAGTAGAACTATGCTATTAAAACAAAAGATTCATTTTATTATAGCTAACTTTATTATGATAATATCAAATTTTTAATATCACAACTATATTTATTTATAAGCTATTTTCACCATGTTTTTTTTCTCACTGTTAAGGACGTTTTACGTGTAAAACTAATAATCTAATGGCTACTAGACCAATATAACTTTTTCTATTTCTTATTCTATTAATATCTCATAAAATATTCGGGAAATTAAATGCTTAATATAATAAAAATATAATTTTCCTTGATCGAGACTTGTAAGTTCGGAACTCCGAATGAAAATACGGGATTAAAGCAGTGTCACTCGCACCCTGCGCCTGTAAGTTGATCATAGCCAATTTTGACCCGAACTTATTACACTGATTGAATAGTAAATATTTTAATTGTTGTGCAGTTTTATACATAAAAATGAAAAACGGTAACAAAAAAAAATAAAGTAAAACCCAGTAATTTTAGCGGGCTTACTGCGTATGCACTTTCGAAACTAATCGACACCAAACTTTTTCGAAAAAAAAGCAAAAAAGTACATATTTTGAATTATTAACGATGAAGTCTCTTAATTACGGAAAGTCCCAGTAATGGTTGTCAGTACCCAGTGTCAAGTAGAAAGTGAAGAAAAACGGAATTCCCTTGATCACCCTCTAAATATAATTATTGTTAAATATTTTCATGTAAAATATGAATGTATATACATATATTTAATCAAAAATGATGTCAAGATCGTTCAAATATGATTTCCCTGGTCAATACCAGGGAAATCATCAATCAGGGCTAAATTGATTTCCTCATTTGCCATGCTATGCCTGATAAACTATTACAGTCGAATGCCGTTTTTATAAATTTGATATACATAAATTAGTTTCGAAACTGTCATTGAACAAGTTAATCTGGGTTACTTTGAACACCGATGAAATATTTTTTTATGATTACGTTACAAAGGCAGTATCTGTTTTTACTGATTATGTAGGAAAATCTACTTACATAACAAAAAATAATACTTAATTAGTACTAACTTTTGCACACGACTCCGCCCGCGTGTATCTCGTTAATCGCGGTGAAAAGTAGCATATGTCCTTCCTCACTACTTAAACATAACAATCAGTTCATACAAACTTCCACAACCCCCTCTTCACCCCTTTAAAGGCTGATTTCTGGGAATAAAACTAGCCTTTCCCGGGACTCAAACTATCTCTGTACCAAATTTCATCTAAACCGGTCGAGCGGTTTAAGCGTGAAGAGTTAACAAACAAACAGACACACTCTCGCATTTATAATATTAGTAGGGAAGGATGGATTTAAGTGTAATACATGGCTTTAGTACACTGTATCCTGTATCTCAAAAATTTGCTTTTAAATGAAATGGAGGTCAGTTTTCTATGGGCAACCTTTATTGTTAGTTAGTATTATTTCTGCATCTTATCTGGGATCAGCCCTTGCGTTTTTACTTGAGATTTATGGAGGTACTTTATTATGGGCACGTCAAAGTTAAACCATGACTGCAGTCATTGCTCATAAGCCGTCATCCGTTTTCCGTTTGTCATGCAGCGGTTTTGTGACCCTATTAATTTACAATCTTTCACCTTAAATGCATTTTTTGCGAATAAATATCTTTCGAAACTGTACCTACCTCATTTACTTTTTTAAAGATCATGATAGGATGGTGCAAATAAATTGGTATTGTATTGGTATATTTAGTTGGCTTCGATTTCCGCATTTAGACTCAAAAATGGTCCTTTATGCGTCGAGTTTGGCTAGGTGAGCCCACCGAGCTGCTTAAAGAAGCGCAGAAGCCTCCTGGGGCGTATACAGGCTTCTAGGAGCGATTTTGTTTCGGGTATGATAGTTGCCCGCTGTGTGGCCACTCCTTTGCATTACAGCCGTTTCTTCTGCTTTCAGACATTCTCTGCAAGAGGGCTGTCCGTCGCATTAATGGTGAATAGTTGTCGGTTCTGGATTAGGTGCCCTGTTATCGTTCCTACAACTGTTCGGATATCTGGTCTGCTAAGACTGATCATTCTACAAGTAAGTCGTGGTGACACTTCAGTCAGTTTTTCTATCTCCGGTTGTGTGCTTCACGGTATGTTGTCTAGCTGAGGCTCCAAGTTGGTGGGAAGGCAGTGGCAAGAGTATGTTTGGGCCAGTGGCCGGAATTGCTGAGCCCCCCCTTGGCAGCTGATCTGCGGCTTCATTCCCGTTTAAATTACTGTGCCCTTCAATTCATTGGAGGAATACCCCATTTGTGGCAAGCTGCTCTAATATTTAATGACAATACCAGAGTTAAATGTGTTGCCCCCCAGTGCCTTTGGGACAGCCACGCTGTCTGACAGTATTCGGATATTATAGTCCTTAATACCCCTTGATATGGCCGTGGTGGCGGCGTAAGTTATTTGCACACATTCGCATTGAAATATGAAACTGTGTTGACCTAACGCTAGTGAAAAGTTCATGTTTAGGTCTTGTGAGAAAACTCCGGCTCCAGTTCTTGACCCCGTCTTGGATCTCTCTGTGTAATTTCGGACTTCGTTTATGCCAGATTGATCTCGGTCATTTTGGTGTGTCTGAATGTGGTATCTCTTTGTGAAGATATAGTGTTTTGAGATCCCGTCGCATGGCACGACTATTAAGTGGTGGTAAGATAATATATTTATAATAATTACATGTTATAGTAATTAATATTTAGAGTACGATCCCTCACCTTTGCGCCACAGACCCAGGTGTCTGAGTCTTATGATCGCCATGGCTGCCTCCTGCTGTATGAACAAGTTCAGTGGGGGCAGACCAAGAGTCACATCTAGTGCGGCAGTTGGCGTTTTGCGCATTCAGCCAGTGACCGCAGAGCATGAGAGTCGCTGAAATTACTGCAATACATTTATGACGGTGCTTAGCTCTGTTCTCTGCCACCAGACAATGGCACCGTACGTGATTATTGGTCATATGGCTGTCCTGCAGATCCGATAGTCCCCAGCTTCTGCCGAGTAGCCGTTTGCATTGGCAGAAGATAATGCAGGCTTTGTTTAGTTTCTCTTCAATGTGCCTATTCAACAGAAGGCTACGATTGTTTGTGAACATGATCATCTCTGTTTTTGATGGGTTTACTGTCAAGTTGTGTGTCACGCACCACTGTTCAACGATCTTCAGTGTCAGTCTCAATATAAAACTGCAAATGAAACAAAGCTAAATTTTTTGTCAGAGACAGGATGATGGGCTTCTTAGCCACTCACTGCTTCATTCATAAACATACTTAATGTATGTACTAGATGGTGTACAAAAAAGATCTTTTTTTTAACATTAATTATGTCTTTCGCTCGCAATAATGGCTGGCCATATATCGCGAGAAATGAATATATCTAATTAAAGCAAAGACCTACATAAGTAATAATGGCAAATAAGTCAAGTTTAATATTGTATACTGTACTTAATTTTTAATAATAACTATATGATTTTGTAAGTAATAATAGTATGTAAATTATTTAACAAATCAGCAATAGATTCAGTTTGTCTTTCTTTAAAGACAACAGAAATGGGATCATCGGCGACATGTGACCCGATCCTCGGATCGGATTGAGGACATGCGGTCCGACACAGATCACATTGAGGAAAAGCGATTAACTCTACAGTACAATGGAATTGTACTGTAGAGTTGCATGCACCACTTGTATTATGCCACAAGCTCTTTGTAATACATTCGCCAGAACATAATGAGTATTTCTTTAATTTCAGGGCAATAACCAGTCAAAAATATCTAAAAATGTCACTATTTTATGACCTGTTTATGTCAGCAGAATTTACCAGAAAGGTACAGAAAGCATGCATGCATGCCAACCAAAACACTCCCCCCACACCGTATCGCCGCGCGCCTCCGCCCGAACGAAGCCGAACAAGAATCGATGTCACCCGAAGTCAGTTGTTGAGGCCGGCTGACGATTCCATTCTATTATCGCGTCTCGCTTTCCCTACGCTACAGTACAACGCTAGTCTACACTAAACGTTGTCAAACAGTGCGGTTATACAAACACTTTAATTGTGCTTCTTGAATTTCTTTAACAAGAAATACCTGTACGCTATCGAATCAATCGTTACAATGAGTAAAATAAGGTCTGGTGTGAAATAAACAGCTCCAAAAAAGTTAGTGAGGTTTTATTTAATAAGACAGAACTAAAGATACGAAGCTGTATAACTACTGTGCTACATTTCCTGTGCGATGTTGGGGGAGAGTTTTGGTTAAAAAGTTGACACATTTAGACGTTTATTGGGATTTATTGCGAATGTGTATTGAAACGTTCACCGCTATTCACGGGCGCACTGCTATGCGCCACGATTTGGTACATTTTATAAGGCATACATCCTCTGACCACTACTGCGAAGGGAGACTTTAGTTTATGATTCAGGTAAGACCAATTTTATTATTTAAATAATATGCAAACGCTCTGAGTTCATTCTAGTATACATCTACGAGGTGAATGTATATTTAATTGCCTCACATATTGCATTGACGACTCAACTGCGCGATGTTGCTGCTACATAATCAAGGCAAATTGCTTAAAATATTTTTTAATATTATATTTTAATAATTATAACAAAATATTGCAAGTTTAAATAACCGACCTTGTAATGTGCCACTACCTTCAGTATTTGTAATAAAAAAGTAATAGGGAACTTTAGAAAGAGTGAGGACAGTTGCCTACCTATAAAGTTATGAAAAAATATATTTAAATAAACATAATAATAAGTAATGCAGATGGAATAAATTATAAACTAATAAAATACATTCGAGGCTCAAGCCTTTGTTTGTGTCGTTTTGTATTATTTATATTCAAGTTGTTTACCTTGTCCACATTCTGCTTCACCTCTTTTCGAAGAAATACGATACTTACTAGATATAGATTGGAAGCTTCAGTACCTTCTACATGTCTTGAAATAATATAATTATCTAAGTAGGTACTTATAAGTAACGATACAACAAAAGTGTATAATTTTACTAATAAAAACAGATTTAAATTAAGATTTAGTTGTGTCTAGACATGAGAAAATGCAAAATTGCAATAAAAGAAATAAAATAAATGTATGTAGTACTTAGAATTCGGTCTTTTTGCTTGGTTCGCACTAGGCGAATATCGCTATAGTCGAATCTATATTTAGAGTCTATATCGTTAATTGATTTTAATCTAATTTATCGGCTGAGTAGCGTCCCCCACTACGCCTCACTAAGTTATATACTCGGTTAATTTTTCATCGGTTAAATAGGTATAATACCAGAACCAGTAGTTTTAGCCGAGTTTATTAGCTGCCGCAAATGTGCCGTTTCGATATCTAATGCTACTTCCTTATACAATTCGTAGCTTTTACGAACACATTTTTTCAATTTTTCTTAAATATATTAAATATACGAGAAATTCCTTCATACACTTCTCAAATTGGCATTAAATTTTCATTTATTAGCTTATTTTCTTTACTTCGTGGTAACATATTCATGTAGCAAAACACCACAAATCGCTACTAAAAAATAATAATGAAATTATAATTTATTGAGCTTAGTAGTAAAAATAAAATATGAAAAAACATTTTAAAAAAATCCAATAACTAAACCCTACCGTCAACAAAATATCAAAACACTAGCAGTATAACCTATAAGTTATACCTATGTTTACATCTTTGATTCATCCTATCAGGGCCTCAATTCTGCAATTACGCCAAGCCAGTGTCATACTACTGACACGCTATTGAGATGCCATCGAATTTATTTATTTCTTTTTTTTAAAGTTATTTTAATTTATTTATTTCTTTTAATAATGTATTTTAATAAAAACATGTAAATAATTTCCTCAAAAAATGTAATATATTTTCAACTACCGATATTTATACCGATGCCAATGGCCACTCGATGGCATCTCAATAGCGTGTCAGTGGTATGACACTGGCTTGGCGTAAACATAAAATAGCGGAATTGAAGCCCTGTACAGCTGCACTGGAAATAACCTTACCAGTTTTACTAATAACTGTTATTTCCTGAGGTTCTCCTCGAATATTAGATGATTGCATACAGTAAGATAATAATTTATATCGCTATCGATTTATATTTACATTCATGATTCCCATGTAAATTTAATTATTGGAATTCGCCACTTTCTCGCAATGAATAAAATTTCGGTTTCTGGATCATTTGGACCCTACAACGGTAGGGTCCAAATGATCCAACACTTCACACATTGATAAGAACATTCTTTTTATTATCAGTAGAATCTAACTTAATGTCCTTTTATAGGTTAATAGACCTAAAATACGGATTTGTTCACATATGACATTAATCAGCCTACCCGTTTTCGCTAGTTCAAGATATAGTCACCAGTTGGCGTGATTGCGACTCCCAGTTACCAATAGGGATTGTGTCACGTTTTTCTTCTCTTTGCAATGCTGCTGTCTTGCTTAGTTTGCTCTCTTAGTCGACTATTACGACACCCACGGGATGAATAGGGGTGGCGACACTCCGTATTCTTAATCCGTCACCACACGGATGTTTCAACTTAAATTATGGCTACTAAATAACACTTTACTCGATTGAATGATTAGCTAGTATAGTTTGGGACTTTCGTGTAATTGCAAGACCAATATGAGTGACTGAGATAACGTTGCAATATGAGATTTGAATTTCACCAACTCGTACTAAAATATTTTCAAACAAACACTGAACTGGCTGAAAAAAAAAGGAATTATGTATATGTCATTAGTTTCGTTTTCTGGCGCAATCATAAACAACAAACCTATGCAATTCATAAAAAATCGAATGGTCGCATTTGTATCTGTGTCCATGTATTTCGCCAAATACATGGCGTATATTATCAAAATAAAGAGTTTTAAAAGGTGGTTACCAAAACATATTGTATATATTTACATCTATTGTATATAGTACTATATATCTCTCTCTTTAATTTTAGTTCTGGCGGTAATTATTCACCATGGCGACCGTCTGTTTCTTTGCTACCTAACTACCAATACCACAAAACGGTGATATAATGGTTACTATTTTAAACGCAGTCGGGTTAAAATAGGTTATGAGTTCAAAATTTCCATCCATCAATTTAAATACAATACACCTTTTGAGTTTATGAACAAAAATTCATATCTTTTAACAGCTAGAATAGTGAAAAATACTTCTAGGTTATTGTTTACAGACCTTGTATTTTAAGTACAAAGTCGGAATCGGATCGTATGAAACCAGAATGAAAGAAATAAGAACAGAGAAATAAATAAGATTCAGAAGTTTTGTCAAAGCCTGATAGTCCTTCAAAAATATCGTCGGCTTAGGTAATTCCTTTAATTCTTAACATGGCGACTCCCTCACTAAAGGATTTTTACGCTACAGTAAAAAGAATTGACCATGTTATTTGCGATGGATTACTTCTGTTAACTAAGTTAACAAATCATTCTCATTAATCAATAGGCAACTACATACCTGAGATACGTTAGTTGCGTTGTTTCTAGTGTATTTGTGTATTTAACGTGCAAAAGTATGTAATTGTGAGTATAGTGTAGGCTTGTAATGTTAATGCATATTTTTAGTAACTTTCTTGTGGTTTTGAGTGTTTCCACGGCCTAGCCAACTGCCCTGCTGGCCGTAGTGTCGTGCTTCGGGTCGTTGATCTTCATCAATATCGGTTAAGCTACACGATGGCGGGGGCCTGTATGACGTCTGTATGGACGGGCCAACTCAAAACTATGGTCCTTTCTTCAAAAGGCCTAATCAGACCTTATACTGTACTCGAACAGTTTTCTTTAACTTTGTTTACGGACTAAAAAAAGAGACCTCTGTGGTTTGCTTCGGCGTTTTATTCCAGAGTGAGTCTTAGGAAATGCCGGCTCCTTCTAGCTGTAAAGTCCGACTTGTAAAAATATCTGAAATGATTTACTTACAGAAATATATATCATTGATCATTACAGAAAACAAAAGTATGTGTGAGTGAATGAATGAAGACAAGATCGTAAATCGCATCTGTTTGACATATTAAATGTGTAACCAAAAACTTAATTGTGGCATATTATAAGTGAAATATGTTATTTAAACTGAATGACGACCTCGAATGTTCGGAAAAGATGTATTATTTATTATCAATGGCATTGGATATTATAGTTTATTATCTATAGTCGTACCTACTAGACAAACAAAGTATCACATATCGCAAACAGATTGGTGAAGTCGTTGCTTAATTCTTTGATAATTAATGTACACGGGTTTATAAAAAAGGTCGATCCCTAAGTAATTAATAAATAATATAATCTGCCAACCATTTTAGGAAAATTTATGGTTCTTATTTGTGTGAAATAATAGTTTTTCTACCAGATAAAGATGTATAAACACGGCTACTTTAATAGTATGAAATTAAAATCCTGTTTTTTTTTACTTTACACATCTTATACACAGCCATCTGGTACTAAACTAGGCAGAGCCAGTACTTGCTGATGAAAATACTAAGGTATGTACATACATACATTTTCAGACACAGAACAAAATGATCTTGCTTATCACATAATTATTTGTCCTAGCTGGTAATCAAACCCACGACCTCCGGCTTAGCAGTCAGGTTCACTAACTACTAGCCTAACATGCCAGTCTATTAGTAGGTTTAGACCTTATATAGACAATAATTAATAATCATACACAATGGGCAACTGTAACTTGAACTAATGAGATAGATGTGGAATGCTTAGTTCTTATGGAATGGGTTATAAGAACTCGTTCATTGTACAGCTGTGGCCTTCAATTGTATTTATAACGATAACCAATGATGATGGTCTTAAACTTAATAGCTGTAAATGCATTACAATTTGTAACACAAACAAACAATAGCTATGTTATATCAAATCACTTTATTTATTGGGGTTCAGAATATTATGGTCAATAGTAATAATAATAAGCAAAGTGAGAAACGGTGTGGTATACAATCATCATTGGCCTCTTGCGTCTTTGCAGACAATTTAGTCGTTGTTCCGTGAACATACACTTTATTTCGTAGCTATGTGAGTCAATTCTAGAGCGACAGTTTCTACCGCACACTACACCAACCCACAAAACTACCGGTTTTTGGGTTGTTGTTAGCTCGGTGAGGCTTCACTCTCTTTTCCGCCATTTGCTGGAATCAGGTGTTATCGTACGTTGCGCGCCCATCAATTACATGTTTCCTCTATTCAGGTTTTAAAAGAAATAATAATATATCAAATAATAAAAAAAAGCCGCTTACTCATCCCATGTGTGTCGTAAGAGCCGAAAAGGGACCAAACTACGCAGGACACAGTATTGCAAAGAGAAAGAAAACGATACAAACCTGTCTGGCCTGCCTGGTATAGTAGGCCAAATCTTCCTATCTAAGGAGAGGCCTATGTCCAGAAGTGGACT